CCCCAAAACCCCAAAACCCCAAAACCCCAAAACCCCGCCCTCTAAATTTCCCATTGAGCTGTCCTAAACCTATATTAAAAACCTTCAAAAAATTAAGTATCAATTCTGCACGAACAATAATTCGCCCTTACAAATGCCACTAATCCTTCTAGCCTCGCCTGGTCCTGTACTGTAAAGCAGGCAGCCTCTGGCTGCCTAGCTTGGAGGTAGAGGCCAGCCTGGGCTTGGGACAGAAGGAAATTTGGATTTTTGTTCGTGAAATTTTGGGGGTGGTGACTGGGCAAATTTGGAAGTTGGCTGTAGCCCCAGTGCTGGATGAGAGGGGCTGGCCTGAGGTAGGTGAACGGAGGGAGGAGGAAGGACGGTGGGCGGGTGCTGGGTGGGGGATTTGTGCTGGCTGGGTAGTGGTAAGGGGGGTTTGGAGGAGGGTTTTGGGCCGTGGACCGTGTGTGAGGGTTTTTAATGGCGTCAGCTTCGAAGCTGAGGTTGGAGAAGGAGTCGTTAAGGTCAAGGATTTTGTGAATTTTTCTGGGAGTGCTTGGTTTTCTTGATTTTTTTGTCTTTTTTGTCATTTTTAGAACCTTTGAGAGCCTCATTTCTTCACTTTCGTCATTATTCTTGCCTCTGCTATATTTTTCGACTTCTTTAAGGTCTCTCTTTTTCGAATTGCTTCCATCCATGGATTTTGATCTTGATTTTAATCAAACTCTAGAGTCTGTTTTTATTCTCTTTACCAATTATTAGAACCATTTTACATTAATAAAGAACTATAGATCAGCATCAAGCATTGAAAAAGGTGAATTAAGCAGTGAAATATTACTCGGAATTCACCAAGAATTGGCTATTGAAAATTACTAGATTTTACGATGAGTTAAATTGCCATCCAAGCCTCTAGAGAGGCAATCGCCTATGCTGATCATTACTGACCTACTTACCTTATAACGTCCTTTGAAGAATCTTTTGATCTTTCCGAATTCGAATTCTTGCATTGTCTATAATTTAGGTGATATTTTAATCAATAAAAAGTTCACAAAAATAGACCAAAAAAAATTCTTTCAGGGCTTCCTCAAATTATGCTCGGTGGGTTTATATGGAATGACATCACGTGTTACTGTAATATAATTACCACAGCCAAAGGATGAAATTTGGTATAAAATTAATTCATATGCGAAAATCTAACTTGCAACAAGAACTTGCAAGGAACTAAGAGCACTACTAATTTTTGCTAGGTCATCCCGACCTGTTAGCAGTGAGTAATAATCATAGCTGCCGATTGAAGTTTTTCCCCTTTTTCTTAGCCTACTCCATATTTTTCACCGATAAAATTTGCCAAATTGGAAAATGATTATTTCCTAAATTCCATAATTATGTTAAATTTTAATATGGCTGTAATCATTGAACGGCTCAAATAGCCTAAAAAAGAGAAGTAGAGAGGGATAGTGAATCCCAGTCTACACATTCTGAGGTAACTTTAAATCTACCCTATCAGTCCTCCTCATCACTTCAGGTTTCCCTCTAAGGGGAGGTTTGGCTTCGGTAAAGTTCCTAAAACTTCTTTGGAATCACTTAATAATCCTGAAATTAAGAATTGTTGTGAAAATCTTCAAGTTTACACCTTAATTGTAGATCAAATTCATTAAATTTTCACAGAAATGATTAAACTCGGTGAACACGGGATTTTGAAAATTTTGAAGATAAAAAGTCTAAATATTGTACAAGAAGATGAAGATGGAAGAAATCATGTGCTTGGGAAGTCATTTCGGCTGTTCAAATGCTAATTTAGCTACTCATGATCAGAAACGACTCTTGCATCGATTATGCAAACGTTACACCTCCAAGATTTAGTGTTTTTACATCCTTAGGATAGTTTTGCTTGCCATAATTTTGATAAAATTTGAGGTCCCATTAGCTTGGTTTGAAATTGAAGTCCAATAATTTTTATGAAAATCTCTTCTCTTACGACTATGAAAACACGTCGTAGAGAAAATAAAGCCTTGACTACAGCAGTAAAAGGAGGATCAAATCATTGAAGGAAGTTATAAGAAGTAGGTTAAAGGAGGTATAAAAATATTTATTTTGCTAAGCAAGGTCTTTCGGACCAACTTACCTTATTATTATAATTATCCAATACTTGCTGACTCTTAAGGGGTTTTGGGGTTTTGGGGTTTTGGGGTTTTGGGG